CTCGCCCTCCGCGAGCCGCTGTACCGAGCCAGCCGCAGGGGGGCCGCTGAGCGTCACTCACGGCAGCGAGTCCCCTCAATGCAATATGCATTGTATCAGAACGAACTTACTTTCGGTCACAAAAAGAAACAGCTGGCTTTGAGGGTTCAACAGCAGCAGGGTCTGCAGGGTTCTTGCTTCTGTACACTAAATCGGCCAAGCGTATCCTGACACTCACAAGTTTTCCGCAACAAAAGGGACCGCTTTTTCGGGATGCAGATCTCAGGTTCAACGCTGCACCCGGCTATTTGCATGACCAGGGAAAGGCGGGGAGGAGGATGGAGGGAGAAAGGAACGGAGGGAGGCAGAAGGAAGAACTTTAGCAGCTGACATGTTAAACACCAGATCAAGTTTCTCGCATCTTACCCAGTGTAACTATCGAGAGCATAATCTTACAGTACATAACCTAGTCTCGTTTAGTTCCAGACAAAAGATTCCGTTCCAACAGCCTGCAGCAGGTAGTCTCGCAGCCACCTTACACAGCACCACCCTCTCATTCCTCTTGTACCTCATCCTGTAAGATCAAGAACACAGCCCGCTTACTGCTCGTTAGGCTACCGCTCATAATCAGTCCTACCTTCTCTCAGAGGAGTCAGGCCCACACTCTGGACTCCTCCTGCCCTTGGTCTACTTAAGTGACTCTTTTTCTGACTCTCTTAAGAGTATGATGAAGGTTTCTGAACTCGTTCGAAGTAACTAGTACAAGAAATGGGATGTGAACACAACAACAGGGCCAGTCGATCTTCCCCCCCCCCACCCTCTATGAAAACTTCTTACCCTATTTTGGAACAGGCACCTTACCATTTTCTTGGTCGTTGACAACTAAGCACGAGCAATTGATGACATTAAAGGAAATTAAAAGACAAAGAACCACCAGAGAAGGAAGGGCCGAATTCACAAAAGCAGGCACAGTTTACGGTTCAATGGTTAACTTGGGGTCTGGCAGATCAACCACGCCTTTGCAGAAAGACCCATTTTTCCCTGAAGCTCTTGGGAACAGAGCACTCGATCTCTTGAAAACCCATCAAGAGGATAAGCTCATCCTAAAACCAATGAACAACTTTGAATACTCTGTCCTTTGACACCATCAGAGCCTGGGTGGGGATACAAACATCCATTCCCATTTTCTAACCTAGCCAGCTAGATCTGAGGCGGGAAAGAGAGACCCGGTGCCGCAATATTTCCGTTGAAAAGGACAATTTCATTTATCACAAGTAGCAACAAAGGAGAAACTCTGCCAACCTTCCCAAGTCAATCTAACGTTCGGTGAGTCAATCTAACAGGGCAAAAGGAGGAGGTGAGAAATCACGGAGGGGAGAGAACTTCAGGTGAGAAAGCAAAGGCCTGAACACAATGGAACAAGTTTAAAAAAAATTCTTTCTTCAAAAGGAAAACAATAAAAACTAGCTGGGGAGCATCAGTGAGACAGGTCCAATGAACCAAATCTGTCCAAGACAGTGGCAAGAAGCAACACCCAGCTTCACGAGTGGGGTCTCTGACACACCTCAAAATAGGAAGACGTGACATACATAAGACAAGCGTGAAGAAAGGTAACGTCCAGAACAAGTCAATTCCCTGATCCACCTATAACAGGCAGAAGATATAATTTAGCAGGTAAAAACATCAGCCAGCTCACAGGGGTACGCAATCCGACGCAG